CAGAGACAAGAGTCTCAATTAATGCAACGCAATTGGGGCATCAATGAATGTAAACATATAACAAAAAGTAACAGGGAACCTAATAAAAACCTGAACCACAACCTTAATGGAGTCAAGGAAAGGATCCCAGTGATGGTAACTTATTATTTCTCACATGGTTTTTTCAATTGTTTACAAGTGTTACCTTTAACATACTCTGAAGCTTGCAGGTCAGAAATCTGGGGCCTGATACCTGATTTGCGATTTATTGAAATCACACATTCTTTACTGTTTAAAAAGTACCCTATATTGTTTCCAAGCTAACCTCTGAAATATTTTTTTTGCTGCAAACCTTTTAAGTCTAGTGAGGTTAATAATGACTTAATCACTTAAGACTGGACAAATGTTTAAGAGTAGTAAAATGCCAATACAGAACAAAATAATCACTACTTAAGAAGGCTGGCTTAAAGACATATATAATACGACCAGTCCAATTTCTGTCACCCTGCATATTGCCAATGGATATTAATTATTCAAAACCATATACAATGGTTAACAAACTAGAAATCAAACAAAAAGGACAAACTGCAAAGTTTTATCAAAACTTTGTTTTATTTTCAATACAAGATAAATACCATGCTTGTTACTAGTGCAGTTTAAGGCCAACAATGGCCATATAGCAAACTGCTGAACAGTCACCTAAATGCTAAAGAAAGAAAAGACAAACATTAAACACAAAATTGCAATTACAAACATTTTAATAAAATGGAATGAATTTTTTAATAGAAGCTAATATGGAAGTCTATTTCTTATGGACATCAAAAAGATGTCTGTTTGATCAAATATCATCTTACCTTTCGCACAGAAATCTTATTGTGAAGTCACCATAGAGTCAATAGCTAAAATTTTAAGACTTTCTTTGGCCTTCTGATATTAAACAAATTATTTACAAACTGTGATTCAGTAATTCATGGATACTGGTAATATGATACAATTTTTCTGTTAAGGGCTTTCCATTAAAAATTGTAAAACAACTTTGTAAGGCTGTATAGGGCTGTAAACTACTTTGCTAATATACCATGGGATGCAGAGGAAGAAGGAATAATAAATAGACCTTTTTTTAAGGCTAAAGTCATCAATGTTATAGATGCATTCCTTAGAATACATTATGATTTACCCCAAAGGATCCTTTCCCATTAAATACCACCTGAGTACTACAATTTTCAAAGTAAAAAAATAAACATGAATTCGCCATTGTATTTTAAAATAATTTAACTTACAGAATGTTGAGAAGGGTTACGCAGTAACAGTGCGACAAAAAGAACACACCTTCAAAATGAAATGTTTTTACTGAATGTAGGGTCTGTCCAATTATGAAATCAATGTAAAACATTTACACCTATGGCAGAGTTTTAGGATACTCCCACATGAAAAACTCTTGGTAGTATTTACCATCCACAGATACCACTTCAAGATTTGTGTGACTTCAATTAAATCCAACCTAATATTTAAAAGACTCCCATTACCATATGTTAATTAATGTAACAGGAAGTCCTTAAAACGTTAAAATCTGTCTGTATGTAACCAAGTGTTTATACGTCCCATATAAAAATCATAGTAGCTGCATACTCAGTGAATGCCAACAACCTGAAATTTTAAAAAACACTCGTTAAGACAAACCTAAGTCATCCGAATAGGATACAACTGCCTGAATATTTAGAATATTCATAAAAATTCATATTGCTTCTTTCTAATGCCAAGAAAGAAGAGTATAAGAACTTTCTCCCAGAAGCCTAGACATTTTAACACATTTTCTATTTCAACTCACAATGAAACTTTAATCCTGAATCTTGATTTCTCTAAATCAAAAATCTCACATTACGAACACAAGGAATGCCATACGTAAGGCCACATCTTAATAAATTTGTAATTTTTGGTTGAATACTTATTGAAAAAATTAGTCTAAGGCTTCTAAGAGTCAAGTTGCTAAAAAATAAAATACACCAGTGTTTAAACTGAAGGTTAATGTTAAAAAAACACACACACACACACTGTAAGAACAGAAAAATAGAATGCTTTGCTACAAAAATCCCACTTAATATATTTTAGCACAAAAAATGTCTAATATATACAATGGATAAGCGTGCATTTAAGTACATACAACTGGGGGAAACATTTACAGAGGGTTATGGGATGCAAATGAACTTAATGAGTAAAATTTAAAAAGCAGTTATTTGTAAAAAAAAGAGAATCTCAATACTGTATTCTCAGTAAAGAATTAGAACACAAACTTCCTCTTAAAATAACTTAAGCTGAAGCTTAAAACACAAAATTGGAGCCATTTTGTAAGATACAGAAAATGCAATGATCATTCAGTATGAAAATCAAAATGTCGCGATCACTCCAACAAAAAAGTCTTGTAATAGCATCTCATTGTATAAAACAGTATGTATTTAGGTTATTGGCACATTTAAATACATAAGGGAAAGAGAAAGTCTTTACCCTTTCAACAATTTCCCCCTTTCACTATAAAATATTATACAACATTCATTAAAACCTCCATGTGTATTTTAAGAACTGACCCAAAACTAGTAGAAAATAAAGCAATATTCTCCATAGGAGAATTAAATGAAAATAATATCTTAAGCTACAGTTATTTGTGAATTCCAAATTGTAGTTAACTGCTTAAGAACATTCTAGGTAAAAGGGTCATTAAATAGGCTAAACTATGATCAAAAGCCACTGCAACTCACTCCAAATCTTGCTTATGAAAATTGACAAAATAAACACCTGCAAATGTATACTGGAATATGCTTTTCACAACATACTTCCTTTAACCAAAAGCAGCACTTTAATTCAGTGTTGCTTCAGAAGCAATACCATTCAGGTGCTGTTATCACTCATCCGTACTTTACTACTGCCTGAAAGGAATGTGACTTCATAGCACTAACAAACGCTATGATTTAAAATTCAACTCAAGTTTGCTTTCATATCCACTACGGTTATTAATTAAGGAAAAAACAAAAAGGTCTCTGAGACACTATATTTTTTTGGTGTCTGCGCAAGGGTTTTTCTCTTTGGATTGTTTTCACACATTAAAAAAAGAAGAAGAAGAAGAGTTTTCAAATAACATCAGCCTATAAACAGAAGGGGGTATGAAGAATTAAACAAGGCTTGCAATTTTCACCTTAACTGCTGTACATTGATGTGTTATCAGGTAGAGAAGGACTTTGCAAAATTACTTGGTCAAACCAAAAAGTTATTTCCCTCTGACAACACTTAAAATAATGAACTAGCAGCAAACAAATCTAGGACACTCACATTATCTGCAACAAAAGTCATGCAATGAGAACAGCCAAGCAGGGAGAACAGTGATATAGAAGGAGCAATTAAAGGGTTCCACTGAATAAAAAATGAAAAGGTAAATAAAGGATTTAATTAGTACAAAATTTCCAGTTTCACTTCACGTCCAAGTGCAGTTAGATTTTTGTGATTCCATTTTAAAATTGTTCAGAGAAATTTTTATTCTCATGGACATTTTACTTACCTTTTAATCTTACTATTAACTAAGTTCCCTTGTAATATATTTATGTCCATCCTTCTTCTCATTAGGGCAATGTACTTAAAATATTAAAAAAGCTAAGAAATGACAAAAACTAACACCTATACAGAAAACAAGAAAATTGATTTCAATACAACTCTCAAAGGTTAAAAAAACCCCTGCATTTTCAACAAGATAAAAACACTTAAAAAATCACTTCTGAGAGCAAACAGTTCTGATAAACACCAATGATCCCATGCACAGATACTCCAAACACAAAATATTTTAAAACAAAGCTGGTAGTAATATGGATAATTCAAAACAGCTAATTTTGTGAGAAGCAGTTTGATAGCAGACAAGATGAAACTGAAGAACGGCAGTGGAAATTTCTGGAGGGCTTCTACAAATGCTCATTACATAATGTCTAGGGTACCTAAATACTTTAAGCATTGTCCTAAAATTTGGCTATACTTTAAAAACCAATGTGTATTATCAGATCTCTCAAAGATAATCAGATCTTAAAAATATATTAACAAATTAACTTGCTTAAGAATTTTAACTCAAATTTCTGAACAGTGATTCAGAATTACCTTCCTATAAAAATATCTAATCAAGACACTGCCTCCAATTTTACAATTAAGAACACATGCTAGCCAGGTGCTTTTAACGTGGGCCTATATGTAAGGCAGGTTTGAAAAAAAAATCTTTGATTAACTAAGTGACTCTAGCATGAATCAACAGGTTGCATGAATATACACAGAATTCCTTAAACTGTGCACACAGGGCACATCTATAATCTCCCATTACACATACTAGAGAATACAACCCAATGTTAACATCACTTTCTTCAAGAATCTATACCAAGCAAAAAATTAAACTAAGGCTCTCTTAACTCACATGTATCTGCTGCACACTGTATTTACACTGCCTATGGCTTCAAAAATAAACCATCAATATGCAACAACAAATAACTGCAGCATCAAATCAGAATTGTCAAAATATTTCTTCCAATGCTAGCAGTACATAATTAAGTGTCTCAGTACATCTGTGTTGTAATTAAGCTGCATTACATAGCAAATATGTATGGGTTTTCACTAAAATGGTAAAACTTCACATTTCTTTGACCCCTAACACATTGACTGGATTGCTATGTCTGTCAAATTTCAGTTTTTACAAGTTTACATACCATTCAGCAAAGTCACAAGCTAAACTAGGTAAAAACAGCTAGAAAAGCAGAATATAGAAATATTAAATATCCATGTAATCACCTATTCTAATATCAAAATCAAGGGCAAGTGACACTTAATTAGTATGTTTAATTCACTGAACGCAAGATTAGATTGATGCATATCCAAAAACGCTATTGCAATGCTTTTGTAAAGGACAGTAAAAATGTCATAGTAACATTATCTTTAGATATTGCTGAACACAAGACTTTCCCTGAGGTGTAAACATCAAATAACTTGAACAGCTTTACACATCAGCCCCATTAAACAGTTTATTACAACACTACATCTATTGTAATCAAAGTGGTGCTGTTTACAGACATTATCATATGAACATTTTTAACAAGAACAAACTACTATAAAAACAAGCATTTACTTGACTTTTTTTTCCAATTGCTTGCACATTATAATGTATATAACCAGTAATAAAGTTGCAAAAGCTATAACTTTTTAAATCACACAGGTTTCCTTCAAATAAAACAGTTAAGCAACATAAAAAATAAAAGTAGAGCTACTGGTTACCATTTATGCAGATTTGCTTTATTCAGATCTATTCCTGTTCATTTTATCCATGAATCCTTACAGGTTCAGTTCAATCACAAGAAGCAAACTGCTGGACAAGCGTCATTTTTCCCCCATGAAGACTGTTTTGTCTTGGAAGGTGATCCTCTTCCTTCAGCTGTAATGTGTCAAAATTTGTGATGTAGATTTTGCTATTCCCCATAATACACAGAAAAACGCTGGCTTAACTATACATACACAAGTCGTGCATCTACTTCATGGTTACGTTATTCTAACACAAAATAAGAATTAAATGAAACAGTAGCTGCCCTTGTGGTGGACAAATGTTCCCAATTTATCTGATGATTAAAACTGAGACACTGATTTCTTTCTTCTGAGATATTATTGCCTTATAAATTTAATGACTGAAACAAATGAAAATATAGCAGCTACTGTTTCTGTGATGATGGAAACATTCATAAGTCATTTTCTAAAATATGCAAACTACAAAAATAAACGGAAAATGCTTGGATGATTTTAATGTAAATATTTTTCATTTACCCACATATCAATTCTATATTAACTCATTTAACAATTAAATGCTGAACTGAATATAAAATGCAATAAATTATTTTACAAATTAATTGTATTTATTTAACAGCATACAGGAACTTCTGCAATTGTTATAAATCAAATGGTGCTCCATGTTACAAAATTTATTAATAAAATTTATAAATAGCTCAGTATGGACATTTAAAATACGACATCCACGTACAAATCTTTAAACATGATACAAATTTAAAACATTTACTTTACTCTCACTCTGTTCCACCTATATTGAAATATCTAACTTAGTATATAAACTAACCAAAAATAAGCTAAATGGGAATCCACAATGATAAATTTCATTAAAAATTCACATAAAGGAAAAATAAAGAAACAGAATAAAGTTGATAAACTAAAATTTCAAGAATACACATATATGCAAACTTCAGGTAGAGTTTCACATCAATTAACTTGAATGTAAGTGATCACTGAAATGCAGGATATTGAAAATATAAATTCTGAGAGCACTTCAATAATAAAGTGATTTAAATGTCAAAAGGGCACAATGTTTAGTGGTATTTTGCCATAAAAATAATTGGAAAATATTTTGCTCTGTAATTAGGAGTAATTTTCTGTTGCAATTATAAATTTTTCCCCAACTAGGTTTTATCTTAAGAGCATTAGTACACATACAAAATCACACTGCCCAGCAGTAAAAACTTAAAATTTACAACTGCAAAAGGAAAAAACAGATGTTATAATCCTGGACTTTCTCTTTTAAATAGTTTCTATATGCCCATATTTTTCAAAGAGATACTTCAGCCATTTCTAATGTTACCTTTTAATGCATCTTCATCTTATGATATGTTGATGAAGCTATTTAGTGACATTATTTAATGGAAGAAATCTAAAACGGCAGCTTTCAAATGTTTTATTTTTACTACTTGCAATGTACTTTTTCAAAACTGAAAGAGAGACAAGGCCTATGTTCTATTCTGAAAAAAGAATTATTGGGAAATGCATGAATCTTACTGCAAAAGAATGCTATTTCCCTAAATTTTTTGTTGTGCTGGAAGGGATAAAGAGGAGAGATTGGGTCATTAAGAGGGAAAAATTAAAGTTACAGTAGGCAAAACAAAAATATTCAACCCCTCCATAAAACACATCACATACACTACAACTTTATATCATCATCACTCCGGTGAAGAATTATACTACTTTTTATATGAAGAATCCTGTTTGTGAAATTTACAACACACACCTTTATTCAGGACTAATGCACTCATCTTTTGCTTGATTATACTTTATATAGATGGATCTTTACTATTAATAAATCTCTAATTTTCACCATACAGACATATAAAATCTGGGGGATAGTCTAGCAGTTTTTATTTCTATTTCTAAACACTTTACATTTATCCACTTGGAAATACAAATTTTACAAACGGAAGCAAATTTGAATACAACCCATTTCCAATAATCCAATTCCATATTATAGTCTCAAATGTCTAAGTAGACATCTACATAAACAAAGATATCAAAAAGAAGCTTAAAAGTGACAAATACATTCAATGCTCATGTTTTCAGAATATCATTTGGTCAAATCTGTAATGGTAAAGCCACACAATTACTTGCTTTAGCTATCAATTATAAAAGGAAGACCTATGTATAAACAATCATTAAAACAACTAAGACAAAAGGAATCTACAACAGCTCTTTAAAGTCTGTAAACTAAAGTGAGCACTCAAGTAAAATTCCAATACACAGAGAAATACCTGCATTTTAGATAATGTAAGATCAAACCATTCTTAACAACTCAAATTATGAGTGTTTATGTTAGAAACTTATCTAAGTAAATTTGTTAGCACTGGCATTTTAAACTCATGGTAAATTCATCTTTTAAGATTCAAATATATATTTGATAGGGCTCTTTTCTAGGTTTTCATATTGATTAAAAGAATCCTCATATAATTTGAGATGCATTATGCACTCAATGAATATAAATCACTTTTCTCTATCAGATAATTTCTCCGTGATAAGAATGGAGAAGAGGTGGGCAAGAGAACTATCTATATACAAGTTAACTCTTTAAAATCAAACTTCCTTCCTTCTTGTGTTGACTAGAACATATTACACAAAAACAATTTTGTTTATTACAGATGCTTACAAAAAGTTCCTTCCTGCCAAAACATTTCATATTGTTATCTCTCTACCTCTGGACATAGTACTTACCTCATTTTAACTAAAGCATTTTATTACTCTATAAAATATATACATAATTGTTGCTCTAGGTAGTCCACTAAATAAGTAGAAATAAACCTCATCACAGTCAAAGAAAAATGAGCTTTGCCCCCAAAAGATTCACAAAATGGACATTTCAAAATAAACTGTTACTCAGAATTCTTTATGAGTTATAACAGGCAAATTCATAAATATGGATACCATAAATGACACCCTTACCCCCTTTTTTTGGTTATTAGGTTTTCTTTAAACAATGCTAACTAAATATTCAAAACATTATTTATCCAAAACGATCTAATTTACAAATTAAAACAATGGTAGTAAATTTAACACTGAGATGAAGGTGAGAGAGCAAGGTGACTCACATTGGCATTGAATTTTTTTTTAACAGGGAACATTAATCATTTGTAAACAAAACTATATTCTTAAACCACAGTGAGCAAAACACACTATACATCCATTCAAGGGATCACTTCCTATCCTCTCTTGTAACCAACTACGACAGCTATGTAGTCAGGTTTTGTAAATAATACTAAAAGCTAGGAAAATTAGAGCTAGAGAAATGAGAGCTAGTATATCCAGATGAAGCAGAGCAGTTAGGAAGTATGGGAAAACACAACAAAACAAAGGGCTGGAACCTATTAGGTAGTCTTTCAGATGACCTAAGAGTTGCAGAAATAATTTTTAAATATTATTTAAGACACTCTGATTTCCACGTAAGCCTCAAACAACACTAACTCTTAAGAAGATGAAACATTAACTTAACATATAAAAAAGAACTTTTAATTCTTTTGGCTTTTTTGTTTTTTTCCCAATACAAACCTATAAAGTGAATAAGCAATGCAAAAATAACAATCTAAGATCATGATATTTAAGGTAGAAAAAAAGTAATCACACAGTAAAATACCGTTACTTATTCCAGATTCCATATACAATGCTTAAAATTTTTATCAAATGGGATAATGATTTGGGAATATGTAAAATCTCACACTAGGGAAAGCCTGAATAAAAACTATTTTAAAAAATAATTTGGTTTCAGTATGCAAAGAAAAACAATCAACACAAATTTGTTGAGTAGGGCTATTCCAAACAAATAATGAGAAGACAATCTAAAAGAAAATAACTCAACTACGAAAGTGAAATTATTTCTGTAAGAAGTATACAATCTTAAAGCACTGAACTTCTTTTATTTTGCTCAGAGTGGTCTGAGAATAGAGGCAGAAATTACAGAATATGAAGCACAATGTATTTACATACTGAAATTTACAATGGTTATTTTTTAAATTAAAATATTATCTACTTGAACTTAGATATTGAATGCTTTTAGAAAAACTCATACATTTTAAAATGAGAGAATGCAATTAACATTACCAACAATTCAAACACAAAAAATTAAGATGGGACAGACATTAACAGCTTGCCAACATCATTAAGTTTCCAGTTAAATTAAGAACTTGCCCCTTTAGCCATTCATCATTACTTTAATAAATTACATTAGTATTTTATTTGTATAAAGACTTACTACTGACATTCACTTTAGCTTTCAAGTCACTCTTATTTCATTTAGTCCATTTAAGATTTACATGAAAGCTCAAAAGGACTCATATATTAAAACTTCTAAAGAGGTCAACAACAGACCTTATTATGATGTTGATGAAATTTGCATTTAGTTTTTTTTTTTGTTTAAAAAAGTTTTTCACTTGAATATATTTAATCCCAGTCCCCACCCCTTTATTCTACATCCACAATAAATACTGTTTTGTATAGCAAAGGTACAATAAATAGTCCAGGACAACAGAATTTTTTGCACTGGAAATGCTTATGTAAAATTTTGCTTGGATGAAGGCACATACAATATTACAACTCAATTTTGATTAATGTACAAACAAAACATGGAGATTTTGGTATGGTACATCAGTGATTAAGAAAAAATGTCTAACAATAGTACTTGCACGTTAGGAATTCATAGTTAATGTCTGAATGTAATGAAACTCAAGTCATGATATATTTAGGTGTACCCATTACTGGAATGTAATGTTAGTGAATTCAAAGTATTTAAGATTAACAATGGACTTTTTGAAAGGAGTTTACTTGATTGACTACAATAGTTTTAACAAAACCAGTAAGAAAATTGTCATTAACTACCTTTGGGTTTAAATTGGTTTAGAGGCCGCTTGATGGGTACCATCCAATTTTGGAGATGAATGGAAGTATCTTCAATTTTTTTTTTTTTTTTTTTTTTTT